TCAGCCAAAGCAGGACTCAGATTTCATCTGCTTTCTGCTCCCAGGTCTGATGCTTTTTGGGCACAGGTGTTGCAAATTCTGCAACAGGCCAGGTAATTTTGTCAGGTTATGTGAGTGCAGGGTGAAAATACTCCCTTAAAACTTCTTTTCCTTATCTTCCCCCCCCCCACCCCCATGGGTGATATGATATTTCCTGTGGATACTCTTGCTCTTAAAAAAACCTCCAGAATTATTAAAAATAAAAGCAACATCCAATATCTACATTTTTAGTGTCTCTGGCTCAATATTTAAAGATACTTTTTCAACAAAACCCCCAGCACTGGAGACACTGTTCAGCTCTCCAACATGCCTCCAGCAGCCATCCCTGCCTGCTCAGCCACTGCTCCATGGGGATGCAAGTCCCATTCCCAGTGCCCTCGTGGCTCCACCACTGCCCTGCACTACCTCAGCATGTGCTGCACCTAAGGAGGCCCTGCTGACCCCACAAGAGAAAGACTACAATTCCTTTTATAATTATTTAGGAGCATTCAGCTGGGACCTCTCTGTGTCAGAATCTGTGCATCCACACTCTGCCCCAAAAAGCTCAGTAGATCTGGAACCCACCCAGGAGCCAGCAAGCACAGGGACAAGGCCAGCAGCCACAGTGCTGCTGCCACCACTGCTGGGGACATCCCAGAGCTGCTCAGGACACAGCAGCAGCTCCTGCCGGGCACCCCAGCCCTGCTCCAGGACAATTCCCAGCAGCTGACCCCATCCCTGCACACCTCTCCATCTCTCCAGGACAATGCATGTCCCTACAATCTGAAGGCAAAAAGTCCTTGAACTTTCTGTGTGATTTCAAGAGGGGGGGAAAGCCCAGAAGATTACTGAGCTCAATAGAGGATTTGGGTAGAACAGGACCCGCCATCGCCTCCTCCCTCTGCTCGGGCTCTCAGATCTTGGGCCACTGCTGGCCTGTCCCCATTAGCCATTGTTCCTATTCATTTTAGATGAAGGGGCTTTTGTTGTAGGAGCCCATGCGGGGTCACATTGCCCCTCGGTTATCAATCTGTTTCTCTCCCCTCCGTCCCATACTCCATCTCCCCACTACAATGGGATGTTTTCTTCGGCAGCAGCTTCCTGACAGGCAGCGGTTCCCTTTGCCTTCAGACCTTATAATCACTTGTTAAGCTGTGCTAGCCTCGGGCTCCCCCGTCCCTTTTCCACCATACTCCCAGTTTAACCCCTGATCCCATCTGTGCTACGGGTCACTGGGAAAGGGGAAAAAATACAGCCGTGCCAGCGGGGCCGGCGCGGGCTGTGAGTGCACGGGGCATCCGAGCTGGGAGCTTTCCCCCGTCCTGATTGTGTGGGAGCACCTGGAAATAGATGGTGGAAGCAAAGCCTTCAGCTCCTTGTTTGCCAGAGTGACAGAGGATTCGGTTGCTCAGTTTAAGCCTTCGCTGACTGGCTTGCCAAAGGGCTCTCTCCTGGTGAGTAGGTTTGTTTATTCAGTGTCCCCGGGAAGGGCATCCCAAACTAGCCCTTTTGGAGTAGGAAGCGTTGCTGCTGCTGCTGGTGGAGGGGGATTTTGGCACCAGCAGTGCTGGGAGAAGAGCCCTGCTTGCTCTCAGAAACGACTGGTGCAGCAGAGCATTTGTGGGGGGAGGCAGGAGGGGAGCAACAATAAAACAGTAAATAGGTAAAAGGAGAAGGGAACAACGAGCAAGGTAAGGAGCGAGTGCAAACAGGAGCACGGAGGAGAGCCTGCCAGGACCATCCCGGGGCTGAGCCCGTGCCAGCAGCAGGGTTGGTGCCAGGGAGCTGTGAGTCACGGGCACGGCGCACGGCCCCGCACGCCGGGGTGGCCCCGCTCCCCTCTGCCCCACCAGCCCACCGGGGACAGTGACCACACACCCACGTGCCCACCACGGTGAGCAGAGCTGCCCCAGGGATGCCAGCACCCCGGGGCACCCCGCTGCTGCCAGGCTTCGGGTCTGTGATGGATGCAGGGAAAGGCTTTGCGACGGGCAGATCGATCAACGTGGCACAAATTTAAGGGAGAAAAAAAAAAAGAGGCTGCGCTAAAAACGGCAAGTCAGTTGAGCAAGAGGATGAGTAAAATGAAAAGCACCTTTTGCTCCAAGCTCTAAGACATTAAAAATACCCTCTAAGTTATCCCTGAGAAGGGTTATTTTTGCAACAGGGCTGAAACAGATAAGAAGTGTAAGTTCTCAGCCCTGGATGCCGTGACGTCAGCCACATAATTTTTCTGGCTTTATAGTACATTGTTCATCAAATGGTCTTCAAAGCGGGAGAAACTCTTCCAAAAATAAGGCCCAAACCCATCTGCTAAGAAAGAATCTCAGATTTGCAGCTGTACTAACAGAGCCCACAGCAATGTGAGGTACAGAGGGGTGAAATTATGCACTATTCCCCTGCATTGCCCTTTCTAAGGTGTAAGACACCTTTCTTCTCTGAGAGCTGTTGTTGGCTGTGGAGCCTCTGGTCCCTTTTCAGCCCCAGAAGGCAGAAACGATGAGTCAGGGTCTGAAAAAAAATCACAAGTTTGCCTTAAATATCGTGGGGCTGTTTTAAATACAGATATATTTAGCTTATTGCTTTCTAGACACCGAAACTTTTTAAATAGGCTCTGGTCACATTTTCCCTAGGCAACTAGTGACTTTTTAAAGGAAAGCTGAGATTCTCACCGATGTTTCCAGGAAAAAAGCTGCAAACAGGAGTCCTGTGATACAAGCCCAGCAGATACACACTCTACACTCTTTCACACCGATTTCACTTCTCTTTTCCCATTTTTTCTCTGTTTGGAAGGACCATTTATTCAAACAGAAAATGTAGCATTGTTCTAAGTGTCTAGGAAAAAAAGAAAGTATCATAATAACCAGCATAAAGAAGTCAAACCACTTTGCATTGATCGTGCTCCTTCTGCAGGACCCACTCCAAAGCCCATTGATGTCAGCAAAGTCTTTTCATTGACTTCAATGAGCTGGATCAGAGCACAGATTTATAAAGGCATTTAGGTTCCTAATGATGTAAGTAGTTGCCTAGAGGTGTTGGGGGCCTAACCTGCTTATAGCCTTTTGTAAAACACACCAGGCATCTACTTACATGTTGGAGCATTGAAATACCTGAAATGCTACAGTATCTTGAAGTCACCAAACACAACAGAGCTGGAATCACACTCACTAATTTTAGATAAAGTGATCTGGCTGCATTGCAGCTGGAGTGGGTATGGGTTTGGAAATTCATATATTCAGGATAAGGTTCTTTTCTTAGAGAGGAAAATTCCACAAAGTAGGGAGAAGATCTGATAGAATAATTCATTGCAAATAACATTTGTTATTAATTTTGGCCTGTTTACTATTTGGAAACACATTTTTATTAGGCATCCAGCTCTGCAGATGGCTGATTATAATTCATTGCAATTTTTCCTCTCCTTTTCATTGAATAATTTGTGGATACACCAGCTTTATTTCCAAGCAGTTGAAGTTTAATTCCTCAGTTAGGTCCACACCAAACAGCAGGGAAAAAAAAAAAGATCTAAGTCAAGTGTTTCATGTGCAAGTTTGTTTAAAAATTCTATAATCTATGACAAACATTTCAAATTAAAAGGGCATTCCCACAGGCAATGAAATAATGAAGCCCTTAGAATCAGGCAGCCGAGGCATGAAGCTGAGAGCTATTTCCACATTTTATGTACTCTCAAAGGAGAAGAGCAAATTCCGAGAGCAACATCGTGTTGTGTTTGTAGATATTTCTTACCAACTGCGGGCCAGACTCTGCAGCCAGCCTGGGGGCAGCTCGTGCAAGAGAGCAGGGAAAAGGCTGATTTCAGGTCTTTCTGTGCTGTGTTCAGCACAGAGCTCGGCGTAGCTGTTGGCTGTGATATCACAACTGTGTTCTTACCCCCTTCTCGGTGGTTTCACTGGGTTTAACCGGGACTGTTCCTCCTTGTAAAGGTGTTTGTGTCTGGGAGGGTGGATGTGATCATTGGGCAAATCAGGAATTTGTTCTCAGGTCCGGTGGGATTGTGGGGGGGAGTTCAAAAATCAAATCCACAGACAGGTGGACAAAGCACGACCAGAGGGACACCGGGGTCTCGTCACACAGCACTCGCTGGACGGAAAAGTCCTGTGGAGTTCGGCTGCCAAAAGAGCCTGCCCGCGGGCAGCGGGAGCTCCCGCTGGGGCTGGAAAGCGGATAGCACCGAGGGAAAAGCTAACCCAGATCTCTTCTGTGTGCCCTACGGGACATCCCTGCACCCCCTGGGACAGCCTCCCGAGGAGCTCCCGCATCCCTCTACCCTCCGCGACAGCCTCTAGGGCACCCCCGCACCCCCGGACACCCTCAGGGACATTCCCGCATCCTTCTCCTCCCGGGACATCCTCCAGAGCACCCCCGCACCCCTCGGGACAGGCTCAGGGACATTCCCTCATCCTTCTACCCCCCGGGACAGCCTCTCGGCCGCCCCTGCATCTCCCGGGAGAGCTTCCAGAGCATCCTCGCACCCCTTGGGACAACCTCCCGGACACCCGCGCTCCCCCCGAAAGGGCTGGGCAGCGCCTTCCCCGCGGGGTCCGCCCCCCCAGCGCTGCCGGGGCCGGTCCGGGGGCGGCTCTGCCCCCCGCCCCCGCCGCGCCATTGGCCCCGCCGCCCTCCCCGCTCCGCCCCGCGCCCGGCGATGTCTCCGCCGAAGTTTTTCCGCGGCGGGCGCCGCACGTGGGAGCCCCGCGCCGAGCCCCGGTCCCGCATCCCCCTCCAGCCCCCGGAGCGGCAGAGGCTCCGCTCTCCCCTCAAACCCGCCCCTGCACCCCTCCTTCCTCCCTCCAACCCCCCCGCGGGGGGATGCCCCCCTGAAGCGCGGCCGCGGCGGGTCCCCCGCGCCGGGGATGCGGCAGCGCGCAGCCCCCGGCCCCGCGGAGCGCAGCGCGGAGGGGCCGCGCCGGGGGGCGGCCGCGGAGCATGGCCAGGGCCCGGCCCGGCCGCCGCCTCGGGGTAGCATGGCCGTGAGCGCGGCGGCCCCCCCCGCCGCCGAGCCGCTGCCCCGCAGCATCTTCAAGAAGTTCCTGGTGATGCTCTGCTCCCTGCTCATGTCCCTCTACGTCTTCTACTGCCTGGCCGACCGCTGCCAGACGCTGCCCGGGCCCATCATCGCCGCGGGCGCCGCCTCGGAGGAGGAGGAGGGCGGCGGCGGAGGGTTGCTGGGGGGCTCGGCCGAGCTGCCCCCCTGGCAGGCGGCGGCGGCGCGGCGCAAGCGGCTCCTGCAGCGGCTGAAGCAGCGGCGGCGAAGGCAGGAGGCGGCGCCGGGCGCGGAGGTGCCGGGCGGGGGCGGCGGGAGCCGGGCCGGCGGCTCGGGCGGCGGGGGAGGCACGGCCGGCACCCTGACCCTGCTGCTGGGCGAGGGCAGCAAGCGGCTGCCGCAGGCCATCATCATCGGCGTCAAGAAGGGGGGGACGCGGGCGCTGCTGGAGTTCCTGAGGGTGCACCCCGACGTGCGCGCCGTGGGCGCAGAGCCCCACTTCTTCGACCGCAACTACGAGCGGGGACTCGCCTGGTACAGGTACGGGACGGGATGGGGACGGGGGACGGGGATGGGGACGGGGATGGCGATGGGGCCGTGGCCGAGCCGGCAGTGCCCCCCGCTGGCCGCCCGGACCCGCCGCCCACCCCCGGCTCCCGGACCCGCAGCCCTGTCCCCGCTCCGCAAAACCCCCGCCGATCCTTTTCTCATCCACCGATCCTCCCCGCCTCGCCCCCCTCCCTCAGCTCCCGTGCTCGTTTCCCAATTCCTCGGGCCCTCTTCTCTCCCCACCAGCCCCTCGCTCCACCCGTTCTCCCGTCCCCGCATCCCCCTCCCGGCTCTCCGCCTCCCCATCCCTGAATTCCCCGGCTCTCCTCTCCCTGCCCAGCGCACCCCCAGGCCTCCTGCCCCATGCAGGGTCCCTCCGGGGGTGTCCCGCTGCAGCCCGGGGGTGGACCCCGCACACAATGGGAAGAGCAGTGGGTGCCCCATCGCCCTGGGGATGCACAGGGATGCTGAGGCAGAGGTAACCTCCTCCCCACGCGAAGAGCACGGGCCCCACAACATCTTGCCGCTCCCCTACTTTGCTCGGGGCAGGGGGGCTTTACAAAACCTGTGGCTCACCCTGACTCCCAGCCGAGCCGCCCCGCAGCCCCGGCTGCCTCCCTTTGCAAACCATCGCATCGTCACCTCCCACAACCCCCAGCCCAGCGATGCAGCCGTTGGAAGCCGCTTTCCTATAGTCAGTGTGGAGAAAAAACCCTGTTTCCCATGTAAATATTTCAGCGTCCCGATAATAAGTAACCAAAAATGCCAGTTCCAGGAGCGTGACCCCACGCGCTCACCTTGCCCGAGAAACGAGCAGAAAGGTAGACGGGGTTCGGCTTTCAATGAATTTGTGTTGCCTTAAACAAAATAAAAGGCGCCCCTTTTGGAACGAGCCAGTAAATGTTAAAGCCAAGAAGGTTCTCACTGATGTTGTTTAGATGTTTTCCTTGTGTGTTTTAAAGTTAACAGAGCGGCGTCTCCTGGCAGATTCCTATGGAAGGGATTGGTTGGGGTGGGGGCGACACTGCTCTTTCTCGGAGTGTGCCTGTGTTTTGTGGCTTTCTTGAATGAACAAGCGAAAAGGAGAGGGCTTCGAGTACCCCTGGAGCTTGTTTTACTTTAGTGTTAAGCCCAGCTATTATAAGAGAGGAGATGATGATTTTGGCTCGGCTTGTGGTGACGGTATTGAAATGTGGAGTAGGATAGTACTGACAGTCCGAGTGTTTATATAAAGTCTTAACACGTGGAAGGGATGAGCTTCCCTGTGTATCCGCCAGTGTCAGGAACACGATGGGATTCTGCAGGCAGCAGAGTGTGGGTTCTCAGAGAAGAAAGATTTCCTTTCGTGTGGGCTGAAGCTGTCTACAGAATTATATTTTTAGTCTGTGCTTATCCGATTTCCACATGCTGACCCTGTAGCAGAAAGGAAACGTTAAAAACGAATCTGAGAAACCTCAAGAACTCTAATCAAGTCTTGACTTTGAAAAATAAACACATGGCTGTGGGGTGGCATCTACTGCAATTTATGGTGGATATGCAGAAAAGCTCATTTATCAAAGATGCTCTCGAAGCCTTGAGGAGCAGATGGCAGTGGGATAGACCCGCTTCTGGAAGCAGTCCCTGAGCGAGGAGTGCAGACCTAGACAGAGGAGGAGCCACAGGCATTTAGGGCATAGTACAGCCCTTGGTGTAAGGGATTTAATTTTCCAGAGGTTTGGTCTTGCTCTTGCAGCTCTTACTCACTGGAGGTGCTGTCCCGAGCGCTCTTTGTGTAATCATTATGTTTTAGCAGTTGGCACATGAGCTGCAGTTTGTTTGCTCTGGTATTTGATGTACTGAGTTTCATCTTTTTTTTGTTTTTTTGTTTTTTCTTCTTTTTTATTAGCCCTGTGGAGGCTGAGGTACAGTGAATTCTTTGTATGGGATTATTCCTTTGAGACCTAATCTTGCTGGCTTTGCTTGTATGAGTAATCTTTACTAACACACGGGGTCCCGGTGTGGTGGCAGAGCTGCAGTGTCAGCCCGCTGCTCACCAGTTACCAGCCTGTTAGAAATACTCACTTAAAAAACTCCCCGTGTCTCTCCACGAGTCTGCTGTGATCTTTGGTGAGGGTTCAGAGCCGGGGAAATGGCCAGATGTTTGCCAGGGGTCCCGATTCCTTATCTCTGGCATCAGAGGCTTAGGTTTCACGTGCACTGCTGTTTCCCAGCGGTCAGACTAAACAGCATCGTTACAAGGTATAAACACTCGGGTTTGCTTTCAGCGCCCGCAGGAAGCAGTGGGGAGAGAGAGCCCTGTCCCAGGAACAAAAACCTGGTGGCTGTGACAGCAACTCAAGCTTGTGGCTTGGAAGGTCCAGCCAGCCTTTGCAGCTGATGCTGTTGTCACCGGAGCGTGGAGGTGGGCTGTGTCAAGGATGCCACACCAGGACCATGGCAAGGGTGACTGTAGGGTTTTCGGCAGGAGGGGGACCACGGTTCCTCCTGGAAACAAAAGAGCAGCTCCAGCAGCAGCTGCTGTGAGGATGGAGAAACTGGCTGAGCTGTGGCTGCAGCAGGAGGGTGATGCTCCTGGAGCAGCTGGTCAGGTGGTGGTACCTGTGGGGCAGCGGCTCGTGAGGCACAGGCTTGGTGACAGCAAGTGGTGTCACCTACTGGGGTGCCACACAGTGCATGGAAGCACTATCCATTAAATCCAGTGGAATAACGGCTCGGCTCTTCCAGCCCTGGGTAAGGGGCAGCTGTCCTGCCGAGAGGCTGACTTTGTAAAATCCATCTGAGGGGTTTGATTTGGCGAGTGTGACACCTCCGTGCGTGCCCGTGTGTGGGTTGAATGTCAAGGGGAGATTTGAGTGCCGAAAGAAGCTCTCTCTGGTTTGGGATTGTGAGTCCCCTCTCCGTACAGGGACAAAAGGAGGGAGGGGGCAGCCCACAATGCTCGCATTGACTTCAGCGCCGAGATCGCTGCTGCAGCCCTGAACAAGGCTATTGAGCTGACAGAGTTCAATAGCAGGTGAGCACGGGCTTTAATAGAGTTCAACTGCCATCCCCCACCCCAGCACGGCTGCACAGCCCGGGGAAAACTCCCAAGAACAGGGGCTGAGCCAGTCATGTAAAAGAAATGTCTGGATTAAAAGAAAATATCTGTGTTTGCGGGTGATACTGCGAATCTGGCTGGTTCCCTCTGATCCTTTGTTAGTCTCGCGCTGATTGAGCTGCCTGTTGGAATGTCATTATACTGTCAGTCACCCCGGGAACGTTTATTTCGTATGTTTTAATCTCCCTGCCTCTGAAGCACCGATGCCAATTTCACTAGAGCGAAGCCAAGCTAATGTCATTAGATCACACTCGATCCAGGGGAAGATGAAAGATGATTCAAAGTTATTCCGGCAGGTTGGGAGTTTAAGTATCGCTCCTCCCTGATGCTTCCAGAGCTGGGGAGTTCTGGCTCCTAATTAATGTCCCCTTGGGATTTTTCTCCAAGGATTTCTTTTTCTTTTTTTTTCCTTACTTCTTTGTAATCTAGGCAGGCACTGATGTTTCTGAGTCAAAGGGAACAGAGAACATCTCAGTTGCTGAAGAGGTCTGGGATGGAGGAAAGGAGGTTTGTGGGGAGGGGATGTGTTTACAGCAGCTGCGAGCAGCTGCATCCCTCCTTGTGCCGTCTCCCATCCTCTGTGCCTCAAGTCAGGGTGAAATCAGAGCTGGGGATGGAGGAGTCGGCCACTCCTGCAGCAATGGATGGCCTGGAGGTCCCAGGGGGTTGAGGTCACCATAATTCAGCAGCACAGTCTGTGAGTGCTGTGTAAGCATGGGAAGGAGGGTGGGAGTGTGGGCATGGCGGGCAGGAGTGCGTGGATGATGCCAGGGGGATGTCAGGGCACTGAGTACAACTTGTGGAAGGTGGAGCAGGACCAGGTGGCCATCGGGAGGAAAGACCTTGTCAAAGCCCCTCGCCTAAGGGAGGTGCTGTAGCAGTAGTTGCCTTTAAGTGATCATCTCCCCACCTTTTTCCAGCCATCCTTGCTGCCTCTGCAAGGAACACCAGGTCTTTGACTGTGTTCAGGGTGTGCCCAGCCCAGAACGTGGCTTGTGCTGTTGAACGTTGAGTCTGAGCCGGTTTGGGTTTTTCACTCCCTGTTTGTGTGCACTCCTGCCTGTAGGAACGTCTGGTTTAGCAGCACCTTCTCCTTGTCCTGGGAACATCTCATCTCCCAAACACATCTGAATTACTAATAGCTTCAAGTGCAGCCTGCAGCAGTTTCTCTGGAAATTGCAGCCTTGGACAGCCACACGCTGGAGAGGATCAAGGCCCTTGTTTATTTATTAGCTGTGTAATCAGACACCTCCCATACTGAGCTCACGGGGCCAGGTGCTGTATAAAAAGGGAACAAAAGGTGGTCTTGGCCCCAGAGCGCAGGTAATTCACTGTAAACAACAGGTGGAGAGGGGCTGAGCCTGGAACAGGCAGAGAGAGCATGCCTTGGTTGGGTGGTGTGGGTCTCCTGGGCAAGGAGACATTGGAGATGGAGGATGAGGTGGGTTTATGGGTGATCAAAGGGACGTATCTTTGCTGGGGAAGAGCAAGGGGGAGAAGGAGCATGTTGAAAATGCTGATGAGATCAGGGTTGGGGTCATTGAGACAGTAACTGGTTCTGGTGCTCGTGTGCTTTGCCACTGCCTTTGTGTGTGATCTGAGGACCTTGGACACTCCAAGGTACTTCAGTGAAGACCTGAAATAGTTTGAAGGTTGACTGGGGGGATGTCTTGGCCTGCCTCAGTTTGCCCATCTGTAAAGTGGGAGGGAAGTCACTGCCCTGTGCTGCAGGGGTGGAACAGCAGCGTTGTGGCCCTGTGGCACTTCTCTCCAACACAGAGGGGAGGAGGCATATGGAGTCTGAGCTTGTTGGGCTATGCTCTGGGTTAAATAACACCCAAAGCAGGTGAACCCCACCAGAGCTGCTGGCAGAGGTCCTGCAGCCTTGGCATGG